TCCAATGCCAAGAGCCGGGAGGGAGGCCTGCAGCCGAGGGGTACCCGAGGGCGAATCAGTCCTGGGCCCCAGCCAGGCAGCTTGGTGGAGCCGAGCTTTCTGCGGGAGGAGTCCCCGGCCAAGCTCTGCAGGAGTGTGTGTTGTGGGGACCCCGCGGGGGTCGGAGCTCGTGGTAGGCTGCAGTGTGGGAAGCTCTCCCCTTTCCAGAGGCTGGGCCCAGAGTCCCTCCTGGTGGCCGCTGGGGACCAGCAGGGGACCCTGCGAGGCCCTGCGAGGCCCCTGGAGGAGACAGACCCAGCCAAGCCTGCAGGCTTGTTCCCGGGGAGAAAATGCTTCCAGCGGATGACAGCCTGCCCAGAGGAGGCTAGGAGGCTGATGGGGTGTCTCAGGTGTGACCCCAGAACGGGAAGGGCGTGTGGAAGGGAGGCTGCCAGGGCCCCAGGCTTGGCACCCGCTGCCCCACAGCCCTGGCCCCACCTGGCTGCTGTGTCCCTCCTCCTGAGACTCCGGCTTCTGCTGACCTCTGCATCTCGCCTCCTTCCTTCCACAGGCTCCGGCCCCACGCGCAGCTGCCCTGGCCTCCCGCGTGCCCCTGACCAGGCACCCGCCGTCCCTGCGGCCCAGCCCAGACCTGGGGCTCACCTCCAGGACCTGGCGCCTGCCCTCCTGCCCATGATGACTCACCATTATTTCTAGCTGAAGCGCAAACCGTGATGGGGAGTCAGGCTGCCCTTGTGTGTAGCTAGGATTCCCTCGCCCGCTGATCAGCTCTGCAAGGGAGAGAGCTTCCCGTCCCTGCCTCCCAGGTAAGCCAGTCTCTCATTGAATAACAGCCACGCGTGGAATCGCTGCGTGGGGATGGTGAGGGGGACCCAGGTCCAAGGTCTGCCACTGCCAGTACCTCCCAGGGCGCAGGCATCTGCAAGACCTTAGCTCAGCGCCTGCGGGAGGGCTCTCTTCCAGCCTCCAGTCCGGGGTTATGCTTCTGCATGCGGTGCAAAGGGGTCCGCCACCTTCCCTCAGTGCAGGGCATTCCAGATCCCACCCGCTCCCCGCGCCACCCCCCCATGATCCCCAGCCAGGCTCCGAGGTGAAATCAAATTGTGCTCTTCAGTGGTGGTGGTCCTGCTTCTGATGGGAGACAGACTAGCAACCCAGCCGATGCCAAGTGGCCTCACGTCCTTAACTGCCTGTCTTTCAGCCAAGCTGCGTCCCTGGCTCTCAGAGAGCCCCCGGGCTCTCCCGCAGGGGTGCAGGCCCATGCGCCCGCGTCTCCTGGGACCGTCGGCAGCACCCTGAGCTCCCTGCCACCAGGCAGCTGGAAGGCATAGCGTGAGGCGCTTCTCTCAGTCCCAACTATGACAGTAGCCACCGGAGACCCGGCGGACGAGGCTGCCGCCCTCCCTGGGCACCCGCAGGACACCTATGACCCGGAGGCCGACCACGAGTGCTGCGAGCGGGTGGTGATCAACATCTCGGGGCTGCGGTTCGAGACTCAGCTGAAGACCTTAGCCCAGTTCCCAGAGACCCTCCTGGGGGACCCCAAGAAGCGGATGAGGTACTTTGACCCCCTCCGCAACGAGTACTTCTTCGATCGGAACCGCCCCAGCTTCGACGCCATCCTCTACTATTATCAGTCGGGGGGCCGGCTGAGGCGCCCCGTGAACGTGCCCTTGGATATCTTCTCGGAAGAGATTCGGTTCTACGAGCTGGGGGAAGAGGCGATGGAGATGTTTCGGGAAGACGAAGGCTACATCAAAGAGGAGGAGAGGCCGCTGCCCGAGAATGAGTTTCAGAGGCAGGTGTGGCTCCTCTTCGAATACCCGGAGAGCTCGGGGCCCGCCCGGATTATAGCGATCGTGTCCGTCATGGTCATCTTGATCTCCATCGTCAGCTTCTGCCTGGAGACGCTGCCCATCTTCCGGGACGAGAATGAAGACATGCACGGCGGGGGCGTGACCTTCCACGCCTACTCCAACAGCACCATCGGGTACCAGCAGTCGACCTCCTTCACCGACCCGTTCTTCATCGTGGAGACCCTCTGCATCATCTGGTTCTCCTTCGAGTTCCTGGTGCGGTTCTTCGCCTGCCCCAGCAAAGCCGGCTTCTTCACCAACATCATGAACATCATTGACATCGTGGCCATCATCCCCTACTTCATCACCCTGGGCACGGAGCTGGCCGAGAAGCCGGAGGACGCCCAGCAGGGCCAGCAGGCCATGTCGCTGGCCATCCTCCGCGTCATCCGCCTGGTAAGAGTCTTTCGGATTTTCAAGCTGTCCAGACACTCCAAAGGGCTCCAGATCCTAGGGCAGACCCTCAAGGCCAGCATGAGAGAGCTGGGCCTCCTGATCTTCTTCCTCTTCATCGGGGTCATCCTTTTCTCTAGCGCTGTCTATTTCGCGGAGGCCGATGAGCGAGACTCCCAGTTCCCCAGCATCCCGGATGCCTTCTGGTGGGCAGTCGTCTCCATGACAACTGTAGGCTACGGAGACATGGTCCCGACGACCATTGGGGGCAAGATCGTGGGTTCCCTCTGTGCAATCGCAGGTGTGTTAACCATTGCCTTACCAGTCCCCGTCATAGTGTCCAATTTCAACTACTTCTACCACCGGGAGACCGAGGGAGAGGAGCAGGCCCAGTACCTGCAAGTGACGAGCTGTCCAAAGATCCCGTCCTCCCCTGACCTAAAGAAAAGTAGAAGTGCCTCTACCATTAGTAAGTCCGATTACATGGAGATCCAGGAGGGGGTGAACAACAGCAACGAGGACTTTAGGGAGGAAAACTTGAAAACGGCCAACTGCACGTTGGCTAATACAAACTATGTGAATATCACCAAAATGCTAACCGATGTCTGATTGCCACCTATTAGCATACCCACAGCTCCCCGGAACTGAGTGCAGACGTTGCATAACAGCCTGCATTGTAGTCAGTCTGTGCCACAGTGTGTAATCCGGTTCTGCATGGGAAGCAATAGTCGTGCAAGTGACTTTTGATCTTTTGATTTTTGACTTAGAACACAGAATAGCTGTCCATGGCTTTCACGCGAATCTTCATCGCCGGCTTAGGGGTTTCCACAGATGGGAGTCACCTATGGAGCCAGGAGGTTGAGGCCACCTCATAGCACATACATGACCTGAGATCCACCTTTGCTTCCTGGGTAAATGCACACGGTATCCAGGAGATGCACCCCCCCATCCCCGCACCCCCCGCTCCCCGCCCCTCCCATCTGAGCCCACCTGCACAGAGACGGTGGCTTGGCTTTAAAGCGCTGGTAATGACGCGAGAGGTCGTTTCCATTTTGCATTGAAAAGAACACACGGTCCTGTGTGTTGGAATCCCTTTCTTTGTCACAGGCTGGGGTCTGTGAGTCGCAGCTGCCAAGTAGAGGCTCTGGAGGCTTGTGTTTCATAACGGAAAATGCTGCATTTGGGTTTTTTTCTCTGCAGTGTCGATGAGAGGGAAGCCCGGGGGAGGGGCAGTTAGTGTGACCGGTTGCAAGTTGCCAAGTTTCTCGTTTGCTCCCGAGGCCTATGGAGAGAAGCTAACACACCCAGGGACCTCTCCACTTCAGATGTCACCATTTTTTCAGGCTTCGGGGTCACAAAAGCACGTTCCCATCTCTTGGTTGCCCGGGAGTTTGCAGACGTCTGCTCTCCCAGTGCCGTGGCCCAGCTACCCTGACACTGCAGTGGAATCTCCAGCAATGCTATAGAGCTGCATGGGTGTTTGTTGCATGAATCTCAATATTTCAAACACAGGAGATAACCTATTTTCTTAGTAGCCTACACAGTATTCATATTTAGAGTATTAATAGCCTAGGAATGGCATTGAACTAGGGTGTTTCACCCCATCTCCCCCATCGGAAGATAAAAGCCCTCAGTCAGGAGAAAAAAATAGACTGACTGTTTAGAATGGGGACCCAAACTTTTGGCCCTCCAGCCCACTCCGTCCGTGCCTGTTCTTCCAGATGGGGGCACAGACCTCTGCAAAGCCAGGAGAGCGAGCGGGGAAGGCAGTGTCTAAACACCTCAGCAGTTGAGCCATGGGCAGGACTGTACAGCCGTCCAGGGCATCACCCCGAGGAAGGCAAGCTATGGATCCAGTGTATATAAATATATCCCGCGTCTCTTTCACCAGTTCCTCTACTGGCTAGCTCTAGAAACAATTGCATTTGGACCTTGTATAAGCTTATGCAATATTTTTGACACAGGGCAATTTATGCATGTGTTTGACTATGTGCACTATAGTGTTTGTATGTATATGTACACATATACATACGTGTGTGTGTGTGTGTCGGTACGCACACACTCACATACCTTCACTCCCTGGAGTTCAGGTTCAGGAGCAAATCCACTGCTCGGTGGGTTGGTTGATCTCACTGGTAACCCCACAGGGCCTGGGTTTGCTGCCATTGCCTCAGGCGCTCCAGTCTCCGTGGAGTCGTAGGCGTTAGAGTTGTCTTTCTGCCCTCCATGTGCTGCAGCTTCAGCCCCCACGGCTGAGGCTTGTCTTACCGAGTGCACAGGGGCCCCGCGGCCCTCGCGGCTCCCGCCGTCCTGGGCCACCCCGCCCCAGGCCTCCCCTCACCGTCCTTCATGGTCACCACCTCCATTCTCATCGCTCTCCACCCCGTGCCGTCATTGCCATCGGCTCTGCATCAGTCCCTCCCATGAACTTTCCCTTGAGGGCCAGCGTGGATCGCCTGCTTTGAAGCCAAGGATGCCAGCGAAGGGGGCTTCTGGGGACCCGGTTCCAAGGGTCTGGGCTTAGGGAGCCTCCTCCATGGGGAACTTCTAACACCTGGGGACCAACGGGCGACGTCCCCAGACGAGCTACGTGCATCATTCTGATGGACAGGCTCGGACTCTCCCGATTAAATTGGCGACCAGAGCTGCTTCAACAAACCACAGGGTGGGAGAGGGTCCCACCCCCAGAAGAGGTGGAGAGGCAGAGTCAGGCTGGCCCTGGAGCGGGGGGAGGTGGGGAGGCTTTGCCTCACAGCCTGGGCCTCTGCCTTTCAACACAATAGCTGAAATGTCCCAAACACAGAGAGGTGTGTGGTCGGGCTGCCCAGTCGTAGGCCCAGCCCCAGCCTCACTGTTGGCTGTTTAGCACCTGCAGTTACCTTGGGGGTGGGGCACCAGCTCAGGGTGCTAGGCCCAGGGTGCTCACTAGTTCCTGGTCACCCACATCCCCAGGTGTCTGCGGGGCATCCGGCCCAGTGCAGGGCCTCTGTGCTTCTCTCCCCGTCCTCGTGGGAGATGGTGCTGAATTTCCGAGACGTGAGGAAGGGGGACCCATCCCATCCCTAAGGCCTAGGTCAAGGGTATTTTATCCCCCTGTCCTTGACCTAGGACTACAGAACCTTCCCACACACAGGCACACATGCATGCACACCCACCACAAAGGAGGCACACTGTTGCCACATACACAAAACATGCAACACACATGCAAAATACACAGAGACCAAATTAAGATAGATACATGGTTATCCCCATATCCAAAGTACGCATCCAGCACACACATAGAATGGACTTACCAATACAGGACCTATACAAAGACATACATGCACCGGGTACACGACATGACCTGCACCCAGGTGCAAAATACACAAAAACTACACGAACACAAGGAGTGCACATACGAAATCGCTCCAAATACACAAACTCAGTGCAAACACACGATGCGTTGACTCTTACAAGGCGCACAAAATGCAGCACACGCAACCAAGGACACACAATGTACGTGAAATGCATACACATACTCAGACCCATTGCTCCGCCCCCAGAGCTATAAATTAACTCGGTAAAAAACAGAAGATGAGATTTAATCACCTTTCCCGGGCCTGTGCCCATACCCCTCAGTACCCTTCAAGAAGTCTCTTCGTCTGGTCTCTCCTTCCCCCCCGCCCCAGATTTCACAGAGGTAACCCTCAATGTGTAAAGCAGGAAGATGGGCCCCCCCGCCATGGTCAGGTCTGTGATTAAGACTGGGAATCTCATGGAGTTTCTACCTATTCACCTTCCACCAGAAACCTAGCTTCAGAGTGTGGAAGGACCTGGGACAGCTCGTGGTCTATGAACACACCTCCTTGCCCTGCCCTTTCCTTCAAAGCCAGTCCACACAGAGAACCCAGTAGCCCCGGCCCCCCAGCCCCCAACCCCGGGGATCTCTGGACTCAGACCCACTTCTGACGGTTTAAGAAATGAGTGTCCTGGACCCAGAACCAGAGTGGAGGCGCCCCAACATGCTCTCTGTTGCAGACCTTATTGCCCCTCCAACCCCAGTGGCTTTGGGGGGCCTGGTCAGCAAGTCGGGACTTCATACAGATTTCTCTCTTAAAATGAGTCCTTTTGTGCTTGTGGGTCCCCTCGCTCCCTTCCTGCCGCCTCCACTTCAGCCTGGGCTCCAGCACCTCCTGCCTCCTCCGATTTGGAGCCGGCTCAGGGGTCGTCTCCACACCCACAGGCCTGTGTCTGCTGCTCATTAGGATGCGAGGTAATGACACCAGAAGGCAGACGTGCACTTGACTTCATAAGGAGCTGGTGTGTTTGGGAGAAAGGCCTCCATTCTAGGAAATCCCGGGCTGTGCAAGCTGGCAGGGGCCTGAGGGATGACCTTGAGCAGGGGTTTTCAAACTGAATACTTTCCGCAAACAATGCCTTGCCCTTCGGCCATTATATTAAACAAATGCAAACTAAGCTGCTTGGGGAGAAGTGTGGGTGTTGGAGGCACCTGGGAGATGGGACCAGAGCCCCATTTCCCCTGAACCTCTGGGTCCGGGGAGATGGGCGAGATGGGGGTAGGGGTTGGTCCTGGCGGGGGGATGGGGCAGCCAGGAGAGAGGGAGAGCCGTGGGAGAGTCCAGTGGCTGACACTTACTAACTGGTACAGGGGGGCTTCAGTATCTTCAGAACTTCCTATTCATGCCCGTGTGGCTGGGCCAACGAACTCATCGCCCTGGACCAGGCTGCCTGGGTTTGAACTGCTCTCCTGGCAAGCTCGTCTGCTGGTGGCGCCCCCCACGGGGCTCCGCCCGGATGCCCTGCCCCCTCCCGCTGCTGCCCCGGGAGGACGCACACCCGTCCAGCCTAAGGAAACCATGATGAGAGCTGAGCCGAATGCTACACAAGCGAAGGGCAGCACTGCATTACAGGGCCTGGTTTTGGTCCCGTGTTGCCAGGCCCGGGAAGTGCTGGGTAAGATGGCCCGCTTGTGGATTGCCCACAGAGGTAGTCCTTCCCGTCGGAGGGCCAGCTAGCTAGGAGCTGGGTGTGTTTAGGCAGAGTATTCTCAAATGGAAGTTGGGGGTTGAAGCCAGGCGTCTGACCAGGCCTCCGGGTGTGTAATGTGTCCCACCTGCTCTCCCAGTGACCGTCACAGCTCCCGGTCTCCGCAAGGGGGGCGCGGCAGCGGGGACCCGTGGATGGGCCCACAGTTGCACATTTAGTGCAGAATGCTGGCCTTTCCAGGGTGTCCCAGCCAAGTAGCCGTTTCCCTGTAGCTTCAGCAGGGGCCTCTGCCGGGTCAGCCTTTCGGGAGAGTTGGAGTTTTCCGGAGGCTGGAGGCAAAGAGGTTCCGGGCGGGCGGCAGGCTGGGGGGTGGGGGTAGGGGGCCGAGCTGGTCACATGGCAGAGGAAGCTCTTCAGGAGCCGATGTTAACGAAGGACGGAGTTCAGGCTCG